GGAAATTGCTTTTTGGCCCCTTTCCCCCCCCCCCCCCAGTGCTGGTCCTCTGTTCGTGTCCCCAGCTTAAGAACATAAGAGACGCCAATGTTGGATCAGGCCAAAGGCTTCCACCCCAGGCCTTCAGAGACCAGCAGCTGCTAAAAAATACCTTGAGCCCCATTTGTGGATGACGATGCCCATCAGGGAGTTGGGGTGGTCACCAGTCAACAACTGCGTGTGGTGTGAGTGGGCCGGAGAGCCGAGGGGGACGGCGGTGACTCCTGAGCGTCGCTGCTGTTAAGGATCTGGACCCAAGGCAGAGCTTGCCCTTAAAATGCAAGGCAACAGGTGGAGAGGATGGACGGGTGTGTGTGTGTGTGTGTGTGTGATGGGGGCAGCAAGGCAACAGGGGATGGCTAATCCGGCAGCTGTTTCGTGTAAGTCGAGTGTTTCAGGGATGGAATTGCCGGTTTGAGTCCTTGGTCTCCAGCCTGCTTCCAAGACATCGCTGACTCTGGTTGCAGCAGGAACAGAGACCAAAGATGGTTTCCGTGCAACTTGAAGACCGGATTGGCTTTAAGGGCTGGGCGGGGAGATCCCGGATTTGTTCCAGCCCTCTTGACTATGCCAGGACAGTAGCCGCCACTGCTGCCGCCTCTCTGTGGGAATTGCCTGTCCAAAAAGTTTAAATAGGAATTTCATGCTTCTGTTCTTCTGCCGCAGCTTCTCTTGGTGGCTTTCAGCAGATTGCTCTCTCTCCCCCCCCCCCACTTAAAAAGCAAAAATGTTTGGGACACACAGGATAGGCTGGAGTGCGAGTTCATAAAGAGCAAAAGCGCTTTGATAATCGTCAGCAGAGGTCATTTCGGGGGGGAACACGGGGGATCACAGTTCCCCCGGCTGAGGTACGGGGGCGGGGCACAAGACGAAGCCCCGCCCCCTGCTTCCGGAGGCCCCGCTTCCGGCCCTCATTCAGCCAGGAGGAGGCAGGAGAAGAGGGAGGGTAAGTTGCTTCCTCCCTGCCTCTCCCCACCCCTGCCCGCCTGGGGCCAGGAAGGGCCTTCGCGGGGCTTCCTTGCACTCCCGCCGGCCTTGCAGGTCTACCACCGGGCCCCTCATGGGGCTCGGCAGTGGAGCTGCAAGGCCGGCGGCGGCGGCCGGGACCGTTGGGGGCGGGGTGTGTGGCCTTATGACACACTTCCGGTGATGTCAGGGGGTGTGGCCTTATGACACACTTCCGGTGATGTCAGGGCGTGTGGCATATGCTAATGAGTTATGCTAATGAGTTCCCCTAGCTCTTTTTCTATGAAACGACCCCTGATCGTCAGCATGGTTAAAGTAAGAGCCATTGGCACTGATGGCCATGGGGCTATTTCAAGCATCCTTTCTGATGAAAAAACGGTTACGTTCTCCTAAGGTTGCTAACGGGATTAGCCGTGGCGACTATGAGGTTGCTTGTCCACCTGTCGAGTGACCTGCCTCTGCTGTAATTTCTGCCTTCTCTCCCCGCCCAGTTCCCGTCACACATTGTCTCTTTCACATAGTTGCGTCGTCTGCAATGATGCCATTCTTCTTTGCTCTTGGGCTTTTACAGGATGCCTCCTCTCCGAATCCCCTGCTCCCTGGCGGCTCTTCACGGCTGTGCCTCCTTTCCTTTGGCGAAGGGGTGGAGTTTGACCCTTTACCTCCCAAGGACGTCAGGTAAATTTGGGGTTTACCGTTGCCGGTGTTCTGCGGTTGAGTGTGAAGGACCAACCGGGCTTCTCAAGATTGTAGGTGCCTGGAGCAGCGTGTTTAGGTGGTCTCACACGGAACTGCAGGTTGAAGATTATTATTCTGATGCTTCCGCAGAGATATTCCCTGTTCACAGGAGGACCGGTTTCATGCAGGGCTGCAACTCTGTGGGAGCAGTCCCTTCTGGTCAGGGGGTGGGCGTGTCTAGAAACTAGCCACAGTCCCAAACTTACAGGATAGTTAGACTGGTGGTGGAAAGGGCCGTCAAGTCACAGCTGACTTATGGGGTGCGTTCAGACGAGGCATTTACAACGGTATAGGTGCCGGTTGGAATCGGTGTACTTACCGGCGTTCACACGGCGAACATCTGCCTTCCGTCCCTAACCGTTGTAAAGAGCTTTACACCGTTGTATTCTGCCACTAGGTCCCCAAGTGGTGGTATCCTGAGTGCCACGGTTGTAATCGCTTTACCCCCCGTCTGATCGCTCTCCAACGTTGTAGAGCCACTTCCTTTCGGAAGCCTGAGGCTTCCGATTTTTGCCCACCATTTTTTTTTAGGTCGGCGATATGCGCTTGGGCGAAGCTTCGCCCTGGCGTTTGTTTAAAAAAGATAGAAAACGTCCTTAGTTTAACGTTTTGGAGGAGTCCGGGACCTCAGGGAGGCCAGTTTGGTCTTTAAACTTTAAAGGTAAGTCCTTACCTTTAAACTTTAAATGTAAGACGGGGTGTTTTGCGCATGCGTGAAGATCGCCATTCTGTGGATGACTGCCTATGCGCATGCGCAAACTGAGTAAAAAAAAAACAACCGCCAACGCCCGCTGCATGTGAACGGGCATACAGCGATGGGCTCCGCAGACAGGAGGTACGTGTGATCGCGTTTCAGCCGGCATAAACTGCACCGGTTGGAACCGGTACAGTTTACGCTGACTGAAACACCCCGTCTGAACGCACCCATGGAGTTTTCAAGGCAAGAGAGGTTCAGAGGTGTTTTGCCGTTGCCTGCCTTGGTGTCCCAGCCCTGGTATTCCTTGCAGGCCCCCCTTCCAGTGACTTGCCAGGGTCAGCCCGGCTTCGCTTCCGAGATCTGACAAGATTGGGCTAGCCCAGGCGATCCAGGTCAGGGCACGGTTAGATTAGCATTCCACAGGGGCAGACCAGCAGTCTTTTTTCCTGGATCTTGGCTCGTAGGCTTCTTTTCAGTAACTCCAAAACGATTCAAGAGTAAAAGAGAGAACTGGACCACCAGAGCAAAGTTCCAGCTACTTCCCGTCAGTTTCCGAGTCAGTTCACTACCCAGTGTGGGCTGGGCCGCTGTTTGAGAAATGCAGGCTCAAAGTTCTATTGGGCGTTTATAATTAATCGTGCCAGTCGTACGAGAGTGGTGGGTCCAAGATTCTGCACATAAACTTTTATTGCGTCTGCTTTCCTGGAGCTCAGAGTGGCAAACAGTCCTGTGAGGATGGCTTAGGCGGAGAGTGTGTGACTGGCCCAAGGTCACCCAGCGAGCTTCCATGGCAGAGGGGATTTGAACCTGGGTCTCCCAGATCAACACTCTCCGTCAGGACAACACGCTGGCTCTCCGTTCCCAAGACTCAGTGGCATGGAGTGACTCTGCATAGGATTGCACTGAAAACCTCACCATATTACCCATGGAACTTCTCAGTGCTCAGGGGATCAGGGAGCACATAACATTATTCATAATCAGTCCAAGTGTCTCTCCCACATAAAGACAAATAGGCACAAGTTCAAACACTGCCTGTTAAAACATCTAGCCGAGGGGATCCGGTTGTGCGTTCAGCGTGTGCCGTTCTCCCAGTCAGCTAAAAGAGGCTGAGCGGCATCCAAAACTGGTGGTAAGGAAGGAAAACTGTTTCCCAGAGGAAATGACTTTTAAGGTATAGATTTGATTAGGCACTAAAACAGACTTCCGCGATGTAACAAGCAATGCTCCCTCTAAGCTACAGAGTCCTGTGAGCAAATATTCTACTTTGTGAGCCACCGGCATTAAAGTTGTGAGCGGGTGATTTGGCGACTGCATTTTTACTGAATAAATGGGTGTGTGTGTGTGGCTGGGACCTGGCAGGGCCATTCAGTCTTCCTGTGTAGGAGTAAGTCGGAGGCGGGAGAGAATCATTGAGCTGGAACTGAACAGGCCAGAAGACTAAAGTGACCTCCTTCATCGTTCCGTTAAGCAACATTAGTGGAAGGTGTCATCGACTTGCCACCTCTGGGTTGGGAAATGCCAGGAGATTTGGGGGAGGGGACCTGGGGGCGAAAGGGTATGATGTCATGGAGTCCAGCCTTCAAAGCAGCTGTTTCCTCCAGGGAACTGACCTCTGTCATCTGGAGGCCAGTTGTAATTCCAGGGGTTCTCCGGGCCCTACCTGGAGGCTGGCAACCCTAGATGTAGGAGAAAGGGTTGAGTGGCTACAGAGTCTGAAACGGAGTTTTTCTGAGGGGCGTCGCCTCCAGCCGTAAAGGATGCTAACCACCAGGGCTATTTTTGGGCAGGAACGCACAGGAACGGAGTTCCGGCTGGCTCCTGAGTTGGCCACGCCCAGCAGGAGCTCATTAGCATAACAGGCCACACCCAACATCAGAAACTCATTGGAATTGGCTACATAAGGGGTGTGTGGCCTAACATGCAAAGGGTTCCTGCTACAAAAAAAAAAGCCCTGGGTTTGGACAACAAACAGAATAAGAAGCAAAAGGTGGGGGTGGCTGGATGAGCACACTTCTGGTAACATGGGGGTATGGCCTAATATGCTAATGAGCTGTGCTGTCAGGGGTGTGGCCTAATATGCTAATGAGTTTCTGCTGTTGGGTATGGCTTATTATGCTAATGAGTTCCTGCTGGACTTTTTCTACAAAAAAAGCCCTGCTAACCACCTTGCTTCCCGCCTCTCGCCGTCCCCAAACACAGGTACACCTCTTCGGTGAAATATGACTCGGCGAAGCACTTCATCAACCACGTCTACATGCCGATGGGGCTGGGGGTGGCCTCCTGCAGCCAGACGGTCGTCTGTGTCCCGGACAGCACGTGGCGCAGCTACAAGGCGGAGATGCGCTTCGAGCCCCGCCCCAGGCCCAGGCATTTCACCAGCACCGCCATCGTCTACCCCAAGCACACCACGACGGTGTACACCACCACACTGGATTACAATTGCAAGAAGGCCGCCCGGCGTTTTTTGTCCAGCGTGGAGCTGGAGTCCGCGGAGTGCTCCCGCAGCGATCACGGCCCCGGGGATTGCTGACTGCTCTCTTTGGCCCACTCGTTCCGTGGCGCCATCCAAGATGAAGAGGGGTGGCCGCTCCAATGACTCTCTGCCACTCGGATGACTTTCATCTGTAGCTACCTCTGCCCCCCTCGTGCCAACCTTCGCCCCAGAGGATCCCGTTGGCCTGCACTTCCTCCTTATGTTTATAGGAATGTAATTCCCACCCCCACGCCCCAAGGACACTTTTTGCTTCCTCCTTTGATGCTCCAGTTCTTATCACAGTCTTGCCTTGAATGTGGTGAAAAAGAAAGGAATCATTTCACGGAGAAAATTGACTTTCCCTCCCAGAAGGGGATGGCTGCCCTCTGTTGAAAAAGTCCTTGAATTGACTCTCTGGGCTGCGGAAGCCCTGTCGGTTGCTCTGGCTTTAAGGATTCTTATTTTTAAAAACTCTTCTGTTTAGAAAATCAGAAGCCATAATTTATTTTCACTTGTCACAGAACCTCGCTGTGTAAAAATATAGAACTCTGAGTTTGCCGAGGCAGGTCGTTCAGGGGACGGGCCACCGTGATGGATGTAGTTCTTTTAAACTTTTCCAGAAATAGCCTTTATTCCCTCCTTTGTTTGTTCTTTCCTTTTTTTTAGTTCTTTTGTGTTGGGGGGGGGGGGGGGAGTGAATTTTTATTAGACATTTCAAATGGCTTTGCATTAACCTGGCTGATACTCCTTGTACTTTACCCGTCTCCTCTGCCGAGTTAATTATATGGCATTTTCCTCCTTTTCGGCTAATGTACTGCAAGCATGTCCAACTGTTTGCTGTGGTTCAGCATCCCAGAGGTTGTGTGCAGAAAGTTTTTATAAAAGTAAACATTATCTGGGGAACATCAGGAATAGTCTTCAAGAAAAGCACAATCTTAGCTCTCCAGAACTGCCGTGACTCGTTTGCAGCCGCACTTTAAACACTGAGAGAACAGGGGTGGGAGAATGCGAGACAATCTCCTCTTTGACCAAAGGGGGAAAGATCAAATGTGTGTTCACTAAACGTTGCTGAAAGGTAGTCGTGAGTTGCAGGAAAGTGTTCTGTGGGAGTGAACAGAATTCCCCTTGGGCGTGAGCAAGTTAGTGTAGGATTTCTAGATAGGATGCTGTGGGTGGTGCTCCTACAGCTGGTCTTTGGTGACTGGTGGTTCTTGCAAGTGGTCAGTGTTGAGAGGTATTTGATGGTCTCCTGCGTGGAGGGTGGTGGTGGTCGGAGTTGCTTCATGATGCAAAGGGGAAGTTATTTTGCATTATTTATTTGCTGCTTCTTTTTTTGTCGCTCCACCATATGGAGCTGGTTACCCATGCCTTAAGTAAGCCTTGGACTGCTACTCCCACAACCAAGACAATACTGGTTTCCTGCATCCATAAGTACAACATGTTTTTTTAAAAAAAGGAATCATCGTCTCCAATGCGTGGTCCAAAGGGATTGCTCGTTGACTGTCTAGTTGCAGAGCGTTTGATGTGTTACCTGCGTTTTTGGGGATAACCTGTATGTCATTGGGTTGTGGGGGGGAATTGCCAGTAAGCAAGTCATTCCTTGAAGAGTGGTGTTGGGGTTTTTTTGGGGGGTGTAGGGGTTACCAAAGAGTTGCCAAAGATCTAAGCGTCTGATTATGTCCTTTTGTCTTGGAATCTGGCAGCTCTTCGGGAGTGCTTACAATGGGAGGGCTGCACAGACGCTTGCAGTGCAGTAGAAAAGAGCCAGAGTCCAGGAGCACCTTAAAGACTAAGGGAATTTGTGGCAGGGGAGGAGCTTCCGTGAGTCACGGCTCACTCCTACAGAAGGGACTCTGGCTCTTTTCTGCTGCTACAGACTGACCGAGACGGCTGCCCATCTTGATTTGTTTCCAGGGAAGGGTATCTGGAAAAGTGAGCAGAGACTCGGGGAAGATCATCTGCCACAAATTTTGTTAGTCCTTAAGTTGCTCCCGGACTCTTTCTCTTTTCTGCTGCTACAGACAGACCAGCACGGCTACCCAGCTTGTGGTACAGTGGATCACATAGATATGGGGAATTGTCTTATACGAAGCCGAACCATCGAGCTCAGTTTAGTCTGCTCTGGCAGCATTTCCCCGGAGCCCACGGTCAAGAAAGGCCTTCCCCAACACCCGCTACCTGAGGTCCTTAAGTTGGATGTCTCGGTTGAACCGGGGACCTGCAGCGTGCAAAGCATGTGCTCCGGCACTGAGCCACAGCCCCTCCCAAGTGCTCCCTTTCCAATGTACAAAATGTACATTAAAATGTACAAAAATGGCTGGGGAAGTTGATGTGGGAGAGGAACAAACGCATTTTCCCGGCAGCTATAACAAGCAGTGTGTGAGGATAGGAAAAGCGTTCTATGGAAGAGCCATAGGCAATGCTCCCTCTAAGCTGTGGAGTCTTGTGAACAAAAATTCTACTTTGTGAGCTGCCGGCATTAAAGTTGTGAGCGAGCGATTTGGCTGCTGCATCAGTTACTTTGCTCTGGAGCCCTCCTTCCTGAGCTGAGACAACAATGTGTGAGCTGGAGGCTAAAAAGCTGTGAGCTAGCTCACACTGACTCAGCTTAGGGGGAACACTGGCCATAGGATATGTGGATAGAGGCACAAGCAGGAGAGCATGTTTGTATTCTTGAACACCAAAGGGGTGTAGATGTGTTTTGCATTCTCTCCCCACGTGTCGCAGAAGCCATACAGCTGAAGGTGAAGCTATCACTGACCAGGAGTTGGGAGGACTTATTCGTTCAGGCAGTTCCTTCTCCCCTCCGGTATCTTTTTCTTCTCTCTCCCTAGAGCCAGTTTGGTGTAGTGGTTAAGTGTGCGGACTCTAATCTGGGAGAACCGGGTTTGATTCCCCACTCCTCCACTTGCACCTGCTGATGTGACCTTGGGTCAGTCACAAGCTCTGGCACAGCTGTCCTTGAAAAAGAGCAGTTTGCGTCAGAGTTCTCTCAGCCCCACCTGCCTCACAGGGTGTCTGTTGTAGGGAGGGGAAGGGAGAGGAGTTTGTAAGCCGCTCTGAGACACCTTTGGGTAGTGAAGGGCCATGGGGTATAAATCCAATCTCTTCTTCTCTCTCAGCCCCACCTACCTCACAGGGCGTCTGTTGTGGGGAGGGGAAGGGAGAGGAGTTTGTAAGCCGCTCTGAGACACCTTTGGGTAGTGAAGGGCCATGGGGTATAAATCCAATCTCTTCTTCTCTCTCAGCCCCACCTACCTCACAGGGCGTCTGTTGTGGGGAGGGGAAGGGAGAGGAGTTTGTAAGCCGCTCTGAGACACCTTTGGGGAGTGAAGGGCGGGGTATAAATCCAATCTCTTCTTCTCTTCTTCTTCTTTCACATTTTGTCACCACCAAAGAAAGAAAACAGGGAGTACGCACGTCCAAAAATGTGGCAAGGGCTTCCTATGCAACAGTGGTGAACCATACAGATACGCCATGTGCGGAATATGTTCCGGCTTCAGAGTCTCTGTTGTCATCCTGTGAGACTTGGATGGGGAAGAGATTGTTGGAAAAAATCTTGATCGATTGAGTAAATGCTGTGCTGAGTAATATTTTTAGAAGGAAGAATGTGAGGGATTTTTTTTTTAACCCTTTGGTCCAGTGGTCTTAATTTTGTGATAGTAGCACTTCACTATAGTAATGCCTGGGCCCGTGCTCAAAGTATGCTTTTGTGTGGATTATCTTGCAGGCATTTGAATGACCTCCAGCCATTCCTAGGTGATAACTCTTGCTTGCAAGGAGCAAGCAGAGGACCTACTAAAGAGGAGGGATTCCAGGAGGCACTTGGTTGGCCGTTACTGGAAACAGGAAGCTGAACTAGACCAGTGGTGATCGGGTCCGTTGTGTTCCTAAAGGGACTTCTGCCATACCCTAGTGGAAACCCCGGGGGCTTCTTCCCTTGTAACCTGTTTCGACATCTGAAGATGCTTCTACGACTTTTTGATGCATTTCTTGGCAACACACCAATGGGAGATACTATTCTGGAATAGGCAGACCATGGAGGTCCTCTGGTCTTGCTTTTCTATAGTAAAAGCTTCATACTTTTAAAACCATCCTAGCCATTGCCTCTATCTGTCTTTAAACATGATTGATCTTAAATATATCCTTTTAAATAAAGAATGTTTAAAAATAGTTTCAGTACATGATTTCAGAGTTAACTTACATTGCTGCGTCCTTGAGGAGACTTGGCCGTCACTCTGTAGATGCTGTGATGCCATTTCTACCACCTCCGAGACTTTTTAAATTTGCTTTCATTTTCCTCTTTTAAAATTAGCAATAAATTGTCCAGAGAACATGGAGAAGTGCGATGTATTCATTAATACTTGTCGGTTGGTGTGATGAAGGCCTAGGGTGTCTCCCACAATGTTGGTTGAGTGTGGCTGGAAATTATTGGCAAATGAATAAACGTGTAAGGAACTGTGGATGGCTTGTTTTTATTGTAATTGTTTTATATTTTAGGTTTTATTTTATTCTGCCTGCTAGATTCCTAGGCAAACTACTTTATATATGAAATGGGATGTGAACATAATATTGTAAAAGCTATCCAGGTTTGGGATTTAGGACTTTTAAAAAAAGGATAGCTTTGTATTTTTGTGTACCAGTGGTTCATTTCTAGAATTGCCTGATTCTGAGGACCCTGGTTCTGATGTTTTCATACAAATGCTAATCCTACAAAAAGGAAATTTTTGAAGACACTGGAAACTTACTGCTGAGTCAACACTGCAAGTGTCCCTGTGGTTGTAGACTTTTCAGGGAGACGTTAATGCCCAGAAGAACCAACTGTAGTTAGAACCAGCATTAGCTAGTGGTTAGGGTGTGTGAAACTGAGATGGAGGAGAGACCAGTTTCCCACTAAGCGGAGTTAGTGTGAGCTAGTTCAGTTTTTTGACCTCCGGCTCACACCTTTTTGTCTCAGCTCAGGAAGGATGGCTCCAGAGCAAGCTAATTTAGGCAGTAGCCAAATGGCTCGCTCACAACTTTAATGCCAGTAGCTCACAAAGGAGAATTTTTGCTCACAAGACTCCATGGCTTAGAGGGAGCATTGGGAGAGACCAATCTTTCTATTTTTATTTATTTATTTTTAACATTTTTTACCTCGCCCTCCCCACAAGCGGGCTCAGGGCGGCTTACAAGAGGGCACAGGCCCATGCATAAAAACAAGATAAAGCAATAAAACCATTAAATAACAACAAAAACAAGAATAAAGTGCTCCATGAAAACAAGATGGTCTCCGAATAATTTCATGACAGTATCAGTCATTTCATTGGGGGTGATATTGTCCTGTAGATGGTCCAAGGCCAGTCCAGCGGTGTCAGTGCCACACAATATTATAGCAGAATTTCCAAGGGTCGCCCCTAATCCCGTTGTTGCCCACACCATTGGTGGTGGTGGTAGTGGCGGTCCCTATATGAAAGCCTGGCGGAAGAGCTCTGACTTGCAGGCCCTGCAGATCTGCATAAGGTCCCACAGGGCCCTGATCTCCTCCGGGAGCTCATTCCACCAGGTAGGGGCTGCCACTGAAAAGGATCTGACCCTGGTCGCAGCAAGCTTTGCCTCCTTGGGGCCTGGAATCACCAGGCAGTGTTGTGTCCCCGACCGAAGTGCTCTTGGGGGTATATGTGG